CCTTGCCAGGTGTTATTTCTTAAAGCATAGAAAATGAGGGCTGGGGAGTTGAATCAGCAGTTAAGAGCATTGGCCACTCACGCAAGGACCTGGGTTCACCCCCAGCACATACATGGTGATTCACAACTGTTAGGGAGTCATAGGCCCTCTTCTGACTTCTGTGGACACCAAGCATGCACTGGTGCATCCATGCACATAAAACAAAATAAATAAATCCAACAAAAAGAGAGACTAGCATGGTGGTGTGTTCCTTTAATCCCAGCACACAGAAGGCAGAGACAGGCCAATCTCTGTGAGTTCAAAACCAGTCTGGTCTATATAATCAGTTCCAGAACAACCAGAGCTATGCAGGTTTTTTACCTAAAAAACAACAACAAATGCATAGAAAATGAATTTTGTGTGATAATACAAACTTGGTTGCAGTATTTCTATTGAAATGTTTAGTGTATTAAAAACATACTCAGTGGCCCTAATATTTCATAAGACATTCAGCTTCTCCTGTTTTCATCTGGCCCTCTCACAGCAGCTGTTTTGTTACCCCAGACTTTGGAGCCTAACCAAGGAAAGGCCCAGACCAGGGAAGTAGTTATTCCAACCAGCACCTGCCTTCTCTGAGGTTCTGGAACTGTATTAACTGCCTTGCTAATGATGAGGCAGTGATGAAAAGCCTGTAGAATAATTCTGGCCTGTTTTTTAGTCAAGACATGAGAAGCACTAAGTCTCCTCTTTGGCGTTCTTTGATGACAACATTGTTTTCTTGCATCAAGAAAAAATGTTTTGTGCAGTTATGGGCGGGGCATTATTATCAGCTTAGAAAGTGGTTGGTTCTGTCATTCCAGGGTGACAAGCCAACAGTGGCTTATTGACAGGTTGTCAGCAGCTGACTGTTAGAATGTTTGCTTGTCTTCTCATGTCATGGGGATGATTTTGCCTGGACAGATAGGCGTAGTTGAAGTGCTCGTGGCTCTGTTACCAGCAGCAATAGGCAGCTCCTCTAAAGGAACAGAATAGATTGGTGGCAACTGAAGCCAGGGCAGATGTGCCTAGGCTGCTGCTACCTGGGTACTTCCACCCTTTGCTCCCAAGGGATGTTGTCCCTGATGGAGGTAGGCTGTTGCCGCCCTCCTCTGTGATGAGTAGATGTGCTCTATTAGTCTCTGTTGTAAACACATTCTTTCTCCCTTCTCTGGGAACTTAGGGATTGTGTTCAGATTAAAATAGGGTCAGTGCTTCACAATCTGACTCAGCAGAGCATGTGATCATGAAAGTTACATCAGGGTGGTGATGTGACATTACTTCCCTATTTGCTGAAATGAAACACCAGGTAGAACCAACTTAGGGAAGAAGTTCCATCTGGCTCTCATTTGGTGGCATGATGGCATGGTAGAATCCATGGTGATAGGAGCAGCTTTCAACCACAAAGACAGAAACAGGAGTTGGCCTCTTCATACCTCAGTGGACCAGGAAGCAGAGAGCTTACAAGAACTTGAGCCATGTTGGAACCGTTGAGCCCCTCGTCTGTGCTCCTACTCCTACCCAAAGCATTGCTGTCAGCAGAGGCAGCTCACACTAGAGACATGACAGTGGGCAAATCCTGATGACCCCAGAACCCACATGTGGGAGGAGAGAACCAGCTCCCACAAGATGTTCTTTACACCTGTGCCATAGCACACACATACATGCTTGCATATTTACATTCTCTCACCCTCCCTCCTTCCCTCCCTTTCTCCCTCTCTCTCCCTCTTAATCCTCTCCCTCATTTCTCTCTCACCCTCTCTGTCTCTCTCTCAAATAAATAAATGTAAAAATAAACCTTAACTGTGATTCATTCTCAATTTAAAATTGATTATGAATGTGTGAGTGAGAAGTTTGTGTGTGGGAACATGTGTCAGTGTGCATGTAGATATCAGGACAATTTTGTGAAATTGACTTTTTCCCTCCAACTTTATGTGGGTCCCAGGGGTTCAGCAAGCACACTGAGCCATCTTGCCACTCCTCCTCCACCTCCTCCTCCTCTTCTGCTTCTTCTGCTTTTGCTTCTGCTTCTTCTACTCCTCTCCCTCCTCCCTCCCTTTCCCTTCTCTTCCTCCTCCTCCTTTCTTTAAAGCTATGGAAAATGCAAAGATTCTGCTAAGGAAACAAACACATTCTTAGAAGAATGTGTGGATGGCATTCAGGTCTCCTTCCTGAAGCTAAGGTCCTCCTCTAATCAAGTGGGCATTGTTTCTTGTTCAACCTCTTCAGTTTGTCCCTATCATCCTCACCCAGAACTCCTGTCTTAATAGCCACTTGTTGTGGTTAGGAAAGGGTTCCTGAAATCCTGGCTTCATTATGGAACAGAACAGCCTTCACTGTCTTCATAGTAAAGTATAGTGATGAGCCAGATTAGAAGAGTTTACAGATGTGTCTGCTCAGTAGAGAGGGTGGAGAACTTTATACAGAGATTGAGAAAGCAGAGGATGCTTTTGATGCTTCAGGTACAGCTGAGCAAATAAAGTGCTCTCTGTGAGTTACCAAGGAGCGTTTCTGCTTATAAGATTTCGCATAAAGTTTTATTCGAAAAATCTTTGTTATCATTGTTCTTTTGTTTTATTTGTTTTGTTTTCTGAGACAGGTTTTTTTTTTTCTTTCTGTGTAGCTCTGGCTGTCCTGGAATTAGCTCTGTAGACCAGGCTGGCCTCGAGCTCATTAGAGATCCACCTGCCTCTCCCTCCTGAGTTCTGGGATTAAAGACATGAGCCACCATGCCCAGCTCCCCCAAACTCTTTCCATATGTTTGTTCTTCACAGACCTCCAAAAGTAATTTGTATGTTTATATCTAAAATAATGTGATTTGCTCCCTACATACCTTTTAATCTAAAAAAGTGTCATCATTCCTGACACTATAAATGCTGAAAGTGCTGTCCAAGTTCTCTGCCCAAGGCTGGAGAGAGAGCTCAGTGGTTAAGAGCACTGACTGTTCTCACAGAGGACAAGTTTGATTCCCATCACCACAGAACTGTCTATATCTCCTGTTCCAGGAGGTGTGAGGATCTCGTCTGACCTCCACAGGCACCAGGTACACACTTGGTGCACACACATATGTGCAGGCAAAATATCCATACATATAAAATAAAAATAAGTAAATTGCAAAAAAAAGAAAAAGGTCTTTTAAGTGCTATGCTCCACGTTCCAGGAAAGATGAGGGATGCCAAGAAGATGACCCACATAGAGGTCCTGTGTCTTAGGTGTAGAGGTACAGTTTTCTCCTTTTTTGTTCTCATGAATTGCAGGTGGAAATAGATGCCTTGTAAGAATGGTAGGTGAGGTCTGGAGAGATGGCTCAGTGGTTAAGAGCATTGCTTGCTCTTCCAGAGGTACTGAGTTCAATTCCTGGCAACTACGTGGTGGCTCACAACCATCTGTAATGAGGTCTGGTGCCCTCTTCTGGCCTGCAGGCATACACACAGACAGAATATTGTATACATAACTAATAAAAAAATAAATATTATGTTTGTTTGATGTTTTTTATTAATGTATTGTTTAGGTGTCTGTTATGTCATGTCATATAACAACAAAAGCAGCTCTACAGTGTTGGTAGAATAATTTCCCTGGGGTAAAATGTTACACCCCATTGAAATACATAATTTTAGTCAGAAAATACTCAGAACGGCTGATTATAGCTCTGGGTACAGGTTAACATCTACCTTAGAAGTTTTATATCTGTAGTTTCTCCCAAAGAAATTAAGAACCACAGAAAATCAGAGTAGAAGCAGGCACCCTGTAAACTAAATAAGCTCCGCACAGTCGTGTGGATGAATCTCAGAGATAGCAAAGGGCAAAGAAGTGGGCCACGGTGGTGCAGAAGGTAGGATGGAGGAGTGCATGGATGTCACACAAGGAATAAAGCAAGTGATACGATGAAAACATCAGAAAACCGATGTCTCCTCTGGGGGAGGACAGGCTTAACGTCTGGGAGACACTGCTCCCTCCAGGTGGGATGTTACTCTTCTTCAACAGCGGTTACATGCCATGTTTATCATTTTGTGAATTACATTCATACCACTTTCCCATGATGAGTTTCCAAATAAAACATTTCTTCAACTGAATATGAAAATTAAACATTTTGTGGGAGGATTGGTAGTTAAGAAGTAGTGTTCAGGACCAGTGAGATGGCTCAGTGGGTAAAGGCACTTGCAGCCAAGCCTGGCAACCTGAGTTCAGTTCCCTTGATTTTTTTCTTATTGTTTACACTCCTTTTTAGTACCCCTGTAAAGTCAATGTGTGCCTTAAAACCAGTGAAAATTTAAGTTCTGTGAGTGGTGGCTCAGCTGAGAACACGTAGGGGCTTACAGTTAGAACCATTGTGAGTTTCTAAAGACTTATTTTTTTATTTACGCTTTTTATTTAAATGGTATAATATCACTTTCTCTCCTCCCTCACACTTCTCTTATGTCCTCCATTATTCAAGTTGATAGCCCCTTTTCTTTGATAATCATTGTTACATGTATATATATTCACTCATATATATAAATACAACTTACTGCGCCTGTTTTGTTGTTTGTGTATGTATGCTTAGGCCTGACCACGCTGCATTGGACAACCAGTTTAAGGAGGCTCACTCATCCCTGGGAGCCTCTCAGCAGCCTTTAGTTGCCTGTAGTCCTTTGTCTAGGCGTGGGGTGCTGTGGAGTAGTCCCCTTCAACATTAACAAGACCATTGATAATTGCCTTTGTTCCAGTCTTGTTTATACAGTTATTTCTAGGAGAGACTGTTTCACTGCAGACTTCCTGATATTCTGGCTCTTAACAATCTTTTCTCCCTCTCTTTGGTGATGTTCCCTGGGCCATAGATGCAGAAACTGTGATATAAATGTGTTCAGTTGTGGTTTTCTGCCATGATCCCCATTTGCTGTGAAGAGACATATTTATCCAGGAAAGGTAGCTCTCACCTAAAACCATCATGAATTTTCAATAGTGCTATGAGATGGTTGTGATTTCTCTGGCCCCTTGTCTTCCAGGTGCTCCTTGTGTGGGTACGTGTGCAGCCACCCCCCTTCTTTGAAGTCACACATGTGGAAGCACGCAAGTGACCAGAACTACAACTACGAGCAAGTTAACAAGGCCATCAACGATGCGATCTCACAAAGCAGCAGGTACACCATCCCATCCCTCACTTGATTGCTAGCCACAAAGTATGGCTAGGGGTCCATCTCCTAGCCTGTAGCACATCCCACTGAAAGTTTGCTGTGTTCCGTTTTTTATAAGAGTTGTGGGGAAATCCCCTGGGAAACCCAGCAGTGGAGAGAGAGCTGATCCTACCACAGGCAGTGCAGAAGACTCGGTGTCATCCTCAGAGCTGACTTCCCAGCTGCCCAGCCAAGTCATAGATGCCAGCGAGCTTCAGAAACTGAGCCCCACGGGCAGTAGCTCTGACATCTCAGGAAGGAGCTGCACCCTGGCTACACCAGGCACTGAGTACTGTGTGCTGCTCTTCTGCTGTTGCATCTGTGGCTTCGAGTCGACCAGCAAGGAGAGCCTCCTGGATCACATGAAAGAACATGAGGGGGAGATTGTCAGCATCATCCTGAACAAGGACCATAGCACAGCCCTCAACGCCAACTAGCTGGGAGCATGTGGGAGGGACCCTCTGGACTGCAGGTTAACCTCAGTGCTGTCTCCAGCTCACTAGACACAGGGGAGCATGTGGTGTGAGGATATAGAGCTGTGACCCTGTGTGAGCCTCTCTCACCCCTTCTTAGTGTCAAGTGTTTATTATTAAAAGCTTACCATAGTTCAGAATCTGCAAGCAGATGAGTTGAGAAGGCCTTGCAGAGCCTAATGGCCAGCTCTATAGTGGCCGGAACTCTGGTAGGGAAAGGGTGGTCTCCACTGGGCAGAGCGCTATGGAATGGGCAGCAGGGAGAGGGTGGTTTCTATCTCCAGTGGGCAGCAGGCTGTGGAATGAGCTTCATAAATCATTTTCCTTGTTGGTAAGAATTTATCAAGGACTCAGTGTAGGGTATGGTCCTTTACTCCCTAAAAAAGAGGGATTCCAGATCACATTTGAGAAGCTAATTATTGTTTCAAATTTACAGTGACTCCCCACAAGATTCAACCAAATCTCATGTTCACAGAAATGGGTGCCTTGGCAGAGGTTCTATGCAGTGTGAACACTGAGCGCACTCCTCCTCCACCAGCAGCGACAGTTACCTGACAGCCTCCTCCAGCAACTGAGGACAAAGATGGTATTGAATCACCCGACCATAAAAATAACCTGAGCTCCAGGATAATGACCTGTGGGGAGGCTGGGTGTGATTGCAGGCTGGAGGCCAGCCTGGGCTAGCAGTTCTTGGCCTCATGGGGTTAGAAAGGAGGTCACTTGGAGAATAAGAGCTGAAAGTCAGATGCCTCAAAACTAGTACAGCTGTTGAGCTTTTCCCTTCTTAAAGTTTATTAGTGTAGTTAAATTTCAGAGAACAATACAGTATGACTTCAGACTATTTCAATAAGACACAGGTGGACTTCTGAGTTTGAGGCTAACCTGGTTTACATAGCAAGTTCCAGGATAGCCAAGGCATCAAAGTGAGACCCTGTCTCAAAAAAAAAAAAAAAACTGAACAAAATTTAAATTGAAAAGTTAAGTAATAATTTCAAAAAGGACTCGAGACTTGGCTCAGCAGTTAAGAGCACTGGCTGTTCTACAGGATCCGGGTTTGATTCTCTGTAACCATATGGTAGTTCACAACCATCTGTAATTCTAGTTCCGGGTTATCTGGTACCCTCTGGCCCTCATCAGGTACCAGGTCTGCATGTGGTACATAGTGATACACTCTAAAAAACAGAATTTTGGAGACTTGAGGGTGTGGCTCACAGTCTAGCCACAGAAAACCAACAAAAGCAATGTCTTGTCAGAAACACCATCTGGCAAGTGGCTCGTGTGTTTCTAAGAGTCCATTTGTTAGCATGCAAGACATACTGAAAACTCAGAGTCCGTTCGTGCTAAAGTCTCCATCATGCAGACGTGACCTCATGTTTTGTGTCATAATTTCAGGGTGAGGCGAACAGGGTGTTGCAGTGTTTGTAGTTCCAGTCTCTTAGGTCCTGTTCCATTAAAGGAGATTCTGCATTGCTGTAATGTCGGTGTTCTTTACACACCCAGCGTCGAGGGTCAGCTCCCGAAAGAAAAGGGTTGACAAGATTTACAGCTTTTGTTCCTAAAGTTCAAGTGTCCAGGAAATGAGTTCCTAGTTTTCATCTGGCACTGGGAGCTGTTGCATGAGGCCTGGTATTGGAAACACTTTCTGATTCGTTTTATCTTTTTCCCCCACTCATTTTGATGACACTAGAGAAAATTGGCTAAAACATTACCACTCTGATTTGATTTTCGATAGCCTTTTTTATTTCTTTTTTCTTTTTTCTTTTTTCTTTTTTTTTTTTTTAAATNTTTTTTTTTTTTAAAAATAGGGTCTTTCTGTGTAACCTTGGCTGATTTGGAATTCACTATGTAGACCAGAACTCAGAGATCCACTTGCCTCGGCTTCCCAAGTGCTGGAATTAAAGACAAATCCCACCATACTTGGCTGAGGTAAGCTTAATTTATTTGTGAAAGTTAATTCATTTCCAATACATGGATTTTAATAAGAAAATGAATTTGGTGATACTAATTAGATTCCCCTAAATTCACTCTGGATTTAAATAAGTGTTTTCATATTTATATTTAATGCCAAATGCAAATAATTTCCATGTTTCCATTTTTATCACCCATTGCTGTTGCACACCCTAACAGATCAATTTTCCATTGTGCTGTTAGTCTAAATAGTATTAGCCTTCAGTGAGTTTCCTGTGGCTTTAATTTTCTACAATTGCTTAAAAAATAGTAATCACCCCAAACATTCCACCATCCCAGCAGTGTGGCTCTTCAAATGGCACATCCCGGTCGTCACGCAATTGTGAGCATGAGTTTAGCATTTCCCCTACCCCATGGGGGAAATTATCCCAAAGGCTCAAAGCCAAAGCCCCCACACTGTCATCTATTGCTATGAGCTCTCTGGCCTGGACAAGGGACAGAGTACCTGGTATACTGCACACAGTACTAACCTGCTGCTGCCAGTCTTGACCCAGTCTACCAAGAAGCAAGTTTCATAATAACAGAAGTGTGCATGTGCGGTTGTCATCAATGGGGAGACACAGAGTCACTGGCCACAGGAATGTGCTGGCTATTTCTGTGCTCTTTGGCCTGGGAACCCTGTGTCTGTCTGTCTTCTGCCTTGACCAGCTGTGGTTCTGCGACTGAATGGGGAATATTGCTTTAAAGACACTTACAGACTAAGTAAACAGGAGATGCAGGGGTGATGGTTGTGATCATATTATTTTAGGACTTTCTCATCTTACCCCTTGCTGTGACCATAGGAACCTGGCAGCTGCCCCCACTGGCCTGTCAGCCATATGCTTATTCAGTTTATCTGTGACTAGACCACATGGAGCAGCGATACCACCTGAAGCTTTCGCCCTGGACCTTTCAGTCCTGTTTTGAGGGAACCATTGGTGACTTTGTACCTATTCTGTTTTTGTCCTCACAAACCAAATGTGAGCATCATGTTTACATCACACCTCCCCAGCATACTTGGCTAGACAGAGACGAGCAGGCATCTCTGTTTCCCAGTTTCACAGTTAATCTTTTTTTTTTAATTGTACAGCAAGGTGCTCAAAATAATAGTCTATAAATATATTTAATAGAAACTTGAGTTTGACATTCATGGGCGTAAAGATGTGTATTTTTTTAAAGAAATAAGTATTGTGTAACACTATGCTTTGCTTCTGTAGCCAAAGTAGAGAAACTTCTAGAATACCGTGTAAAAAAGCAACAAATGATTCAAACAAATGTGTCATTAAAACTGGATGATTGGCACTTGGTCATTTTATGTTGCACATCGAGCTGCAAGCCTTAAAGCCAAAACTCTAGAGTTGTTTGTGGTAGAACAGGCCACCTGTGCAGAAGAGTGCAGCAAGCCGCCAGGCATCTCTTTACCTTCAGAAGTACTGTGCAAAATTAGAATAATTTATTTTGCTTTACAGGAGTTTGTCATGTATTGACTTAAATATTGTATTTTGGTAATAAATTTTTTTGTTAAAAACACTCGTTTCTAAGTTTCATTAACAGCACATGTCCGTTCTTGTCTTGAGTTTATTAATTTAGAAACTTGTGCTTAAATCATTGAAAGCTCCCCAAGAACTGCTTGGGCTCATTAGTGGGCTCTGTTAACTCGCCAAGCTATTACCTGCTCGTAGTCACTACGTTTCACAGGCATCATTTCAAGGCTCTGGGTCCTCTTCCTTGTAAACCTTTGGCATCAGCACAGAGATGCTTTCAGTGCTGATGTGTGGGTGCTAGCTCCCTTACTCTAATTAGAACTCCGCTGAAGGCCAGTGGTTACAAGTTTGGGCTCATACTTTGATCCTTTTGTGGTCTATCACCAAATAATCATTTGACATGAGTTTCATTAAAGAGGCCAGGGATGCTTCACTTAACTACAGCACAGTTTGTGCCCTAGAATCCCAGGCCTTCCCAGCTAGAAGTGACTAAAACCAAATTATCTCCTTGGTAGCTAGAACCTCTTGTCCTGTGCTCTGTAGGGTGCCTTGGTCCTGTCTTCTACTTTTCAAGGACCAAATCTCAACACTGCCTTGACAGATAGTTGTAGAAATCACAGCACGGGGACCAAGATCAGGATCACAAGTACCACATGACAGCCGTAGTCACATAACAACTGAAAACGAGAGATGGGACTCCGCACAAGTGTAAAAACCAACAGTTGCAAAGATTTAATTTTAAAAATGTACAGTATCTCAATAGTTTTATATATTGACTGTTAAAATAGTTGGGCTATATTAGGTTAAATAAAATGTGTTAGTCATTTTTACTGTGTTAGCTTTTCGTTGCTATAGCTGACACCTTTAAAAAAGACAACAACTGGGGTGGGGGGGGGGGACACCTTTCATCCCAGCAGGAAGCAGAAGTAGGCAGATACCTTGAGACCAGCCTGCTCTACAGAGAGAGTTCCAAGACAGCCAGGGTTTTTAAAAACAAAAAGAACAAAACAAAAAGCTTATAAGGGGTACCTTGACCCAGGGGTTCAGAGGCTGCTCTCTGAGGTCGTCTGTCTCTTGCTGTCACACTGCAGTGAGGCAGGATACCATGCGGGAACCTGTGAACCAGACTGCACAGCTTACGATTGCCAGGAAGCAGAGGGTAGAGACAAGAAGGCAACAAGATAGACTTCCCAGGGCACAGCCAGAAGCTGCCTCCTCCAGGCAGTCCTCAACTCCCCATAGTAGCATCCAGTGGTGAATGCATGGCCAAGCTGGTTGGAGCCCTAATGATAGAATGAGTTCCCAAACGCTCACAGCCAAACCTAACACATGCACTTCTGCGGCCACTTAGATCCAAACCACAACCATGTTAATGTGGCTACTGGAGATTTCTAAATGACGTGTATGATTTGCATTGTTTCCCGTGGCTAGTGCTGGTATAGATGAGAGGCTGGCAAACTGGCCTCCATTTCAAATCCAGCTTGACACTTGCTTTCACAAAGGTTTGGATCTCGGCCACATCGTCCTTTCTGTTTTGAACATTTTTATTAACTGCTAGTGTTTGTGTTTGGGTGGTAGATTGTGTGACCCACATATTTAGTGATAAAGCCACAGAGCTCTAGACTGAAACAGTGTTGAAATCTGGGCTCTACAGTAATAAAGAGTCTGCAGCTGCCCTGTGAGTGGGGCCTGTGTGTGCCACAGCATATCCGTGCAGGTCAGAAGGAGTGGGTTCTGTCCTTCCACCTTTACATGGTTTCCTGGGATCAGACTCAGGTCGCCAGGCCACAACAGCACATGCCTTCACCCACTAAACTATCTGGCCCCTCTGTCATCGTCGTTATCTACCTTTTCCAAAGCTCTATAATCACCTTCAGGTGATAGGTATGTAAAGCCAAACCACTTGTTTAAATAGCTGAATAAATATATATATCAGACACACTGCTCTGGGGTTCCTCCTGTCAGCCTTACCATGTCTGTGTACCCTCAGACTTCACCCCCAGTACTGTGGGTCGTTCAGTAGTGACGTGGTCACAGAGCCTCCCTTTGTCATGGTGGTGCAAAGTGAGCTCGGTGAAGTCACTGGGGCAGGCTAACCCCTGGCTGGAGTCTGAGCTACACTGCAACAAAGCATCAGATCCAGCAGTGCTGAGGGCCTTGATGCTGCCGTGAAAGGGCTAAGGAAAAGTCAGTTTCTTTCCAGTCAGCCAGCCTGAATGTCAAATGAGGAAATTTCCAGCTCAACAGAGCATCAGACAAGTCTGGTGTTGGAAGGTTTGTGTTTTTTTTATTTATTTATTTATTTATTTTTGGTTTTGGGGGCCTGTCCTGGAACTAGCTCTTGTAGACCAGGCTGGTCTTGAACTCACAGAGATCCGCCTGCTTCTGCCTCCCTAGTTTAAGGATTTGTTTTTTATTTAAGTGTGTCTGACATGTGGATGCAGTGCCCGCAGAGGCCAGAAGAGGGCATTAGGTTTCCTAGAGCTGGAGGTGCAGGCAGTCGTGAGCAGCACAGGACACCCTGGAAGAGCAGGGGACATCCTTAACCTCCGAGCCAGCTCTCCAGCCCTGACCAGTGTGTTTATAGTCATCACTAAGCAAAAGTTTAAGTAAAATGGGTGTAGCTCTCGGGCTTCAGCATGAGCCACAGATTCCAGTTTGTATGCTGTGTTAAAGGCTGTAGGCCCATTCTCCTTAATACTTAATACATTGAATATCTAGGTTTTATCTCTTGATCCATACATTATAGGTGAAATTATACCAGCTTAATGAGTGTTTTTCAATAACAGGTAATCACTTTGAACTATTTACCTTACTAAAGATTACAATAGATCTTCAAATTAAAATGTATGACTTTAGACATCTATTATAAAATAATGAAATGCCATGCTATATAATGAGGTCATCAGATGTGGTCTTTTTGTGGGTTGCTGAATACATACAATAAAGGTACCATTCTATAATAGCTTGCAGAATTGAGTATACGACGGGTACCTCTATGGTAACATTCAGGGACATGAACTCTTACGTAGATTACATAGTCTCATTTACATGGATCAGAAAGTGAGGAATCCTTGTGAGCTCAGGCCCAACTATTTCAGTGAAAACCAGGGAATCCGAGCTGACAGACCACTGACGTAGAGCAGAACTAGACATCTTCATTTCGATTCTGATACGAGCATTATTCCTCAGCTCTGTCCTTCATTAAAATGAAGTACTTATAAATATCCATATCATTGACATGAGTAACAAACAGTTTTAAATTAGTACTACAGATGGGGTGTAGCTCGGCGGTAGACAATGCGTGTGGCATGCATAAGGCCCTAGGTGCCATCCTCAGAA